AGAGGTGATGATAATATTGATGCCATGCGAATTATGACGCTCAGGGAGAGATCGAGCGCTGAAAACCACCCAACATGGAAGGAATCATTAATTGATATCGGGTTCTTCCATCTAGACACAGAAGAGGCGTGAGAGGCTTATAGGGGAACCTCGAAGGGCGTCTTCGGGCTTCAAGACCCACAACTGCCAACGCGGCCAATCTTAGGGCCTGCCATGCCTGTCTGAGAAAAAACTTGCTCACCTCTTTCTTACCTCTACAAGTACCAATGTCTGCCAGATAGTCGGGCTCTAGGTGGTCTGACATTTTCCATCAGACGCCTCTCGGAGTATAGCACCGGGTGACTGGTTTGCTTGTAACACGAAGCTGCTGGGACTCATAGCTTTCTCAACATGTGGTGGCGGGCACGTGGAATGACACATCTCCGGAAAAACAATGGTTCCGGTGTCACTCCCATTTTGGTAACTCCTCAACGCCGTCTCGTTCTCGGCCTACTTGCCCTCAAGTGAACCACTGGCTTCTCCATTGATTATTCCTCCACACTTCATGATAGCGCACCAACGTTCTAGAACCGCAAAGCCTTCAAGAAACGCACCTCAGGAAGCTAGCTGGATAGCCCGAGCCTGACATGATCCCAAGTCTTCACGAACTGTTCAATCGACCAGACCACCATCTTTGTTCTCGCCCCGTGCATTGTGGAAGCGAATACGAGCCAAGGACTCTTTTGCTGTCCCTCTACTGCTCTTCCATGTCTCTCTTCAGCTACTTAGGCATGCGCAGCTTCTCGTATTAACACCAAAAGTCCCTTCTCTTTTCCTAGCCACGGAATCTCTCCCATAACTGGACTGGACAACGCAAGAAACTTTGTCTCCAGCACATGACTGACAGGACTCAAGCAGCTCGCCCAATGATGTGACTGCTTGCCTCGTGTCACCAGCCGTCTCGATTTTTAGCCGCGAATGACAGTTGCGGCTCTGAAGTTGCTCCTCGAATCAGCCCTACGGGGCGGAATTCCACAATGCAGCACCATCATAGCACAATTCTTAGCTTCCTCAAGCAATTCGCTTGGTGAAGCTTGTCGAGAAAACAAATTGACCTTGCTTTCAAGCAAGCTTGGACCGGTGATGTGACCCAGAAGAGCTGCGCCTTAGCCACATTGGACTTCTGGAGTTGACCTGTTCGTACTGCTTCGGAGGAAACTAGTCGCAAACAGTTACGGTTGAATCCAAGGACCGACGATGCAGTAAATTGTCGACACGCTCGCTTGATAATGCCCTACTTGCTCCAGCTTCGCCCTCAGAGTTTAAGCAAGCGAATGCGCCAATGTCAAGACTAATTGTTGATAGGCGAGACCTGCCATTGTGTTGCAAAGTACCAAACTATGTTCGCTAGCATTGAATATCCGGTTGTGGACTTTTGGCCCATCTAGTCCTTGATCGTCAGTGTATCAAAGCCCCAAATCATCTGAGGGACCGCCTCTTCGCATTTAGCTTTCCTCCGGTCCCCGTGTTCGGTCCTCTTACCGAATCGGGGGGCCTCTGAAGCCGTCGAGATATCGTCTTGCAGCGCTGGTATCGATGCTTGCCGAAGGTGGAACGAGTTGAATGTTGGTGTTGCGGCTGAGCTCTGGCCGTTCTGTCACGTTGCTTCGGACACAATATCCCTATGGTAGAGCCCCAAAACTGGATAAATACCTCGTCTTTGCCCTACTCTTCCCATCGTCGAGCATTCTAAATTTCAGGCAAGCACACTTTCTGACCATCGAGGCTTTTTACCTTTGAGCCAACAAGATGACTTATTCTATGAAGCATGCAGTACTCGTGGGCCTCACTCTTTCTACGGCAGTGCTTGGTCAGGATTGTGGCAGTAAGACACCCCGTCCTCGTGCGCAAGCGAAGACAACTGACGCTCTGCTCTAGGATATACCGTGTTCACCGATAGAGGCGCGAGCTCCAATGATTTCAACTGTGATGCATTTATTGATGATGCTATGATGCCGTATCTTGCATGGTTTAACGGCACTACCACAGTAAGGGCTCCCTCGCGAGAACGTGTCGTTGTCGAGGCACAATCTGACAGGCATTCGCAGCTCACCCTCACTGGCGGACCGACGTCTGAATGCCCGGACACAACCTGGGAACCACTGAAAAACTCGTTGCTCATTGGCGGCATGACCGTTCCCGGCAACAAAACGCTCGACCGGACCAAGTATGATAACAACACCTTCTACTTTGTCATGCCTGAGCAGTCAAACGACAACATCAGCGTATCCCTCCAGTCCTCGTCGGACGAATGGTACGACCAACCCCAAGGCTGGCAGATCAACGCGACCAAAGCTGGAGATGGCTACGACATCGCCGGCTACTGGTTTGGGCAATTGCCAGACAACAACGAGCTCGACTTTCCCGGCGTCCCCGGCAAACATTGTTGGGACAGCGGTCCAGTCTGGCCGGGAATGAAGGGCTACTTTGACGAATACAAATGGACCCTCGTCGGGCACCTGTCTCCCACGGCCGCAAATCTCAGTGTCATCATGACCGAGACAGACGATGATGGGTCAGTGTGGCATATCTACACAAATTTCACCGGCAAGGCTGGACCAAAGGGGCCCAAGTTGGTGACTACGGGGGACGCGCCGACCACGGATGCTCAGGCTTGAGGTGAGGGTGCTAGTCCGGAGCTGCAGATGTACAATGCCATAGTTCTTATCTAATATCATTGCCGAGTTGTCCCGTACCATTGTTTCACAGACGATATGCCAGCCTCGGATAGCATGCGGTGTTGCACTACAGAAGATAAAGCGCAAAGGTGAAAGGTAGCTAGCTGGATGAACTCAGCAAGAGGCTCTTCGGATCAACATTTGGCCGTTCCGCAGTCCCTTTTGTCTTCCCAACTCCCTTCGTCCTCTCCCTCTTGGAGTATGTTGCATCTCATCTCCATGCACGATTCTTTGTATCAATATGGTCTCTGCACGAGTGACGTCTGCTACTACACCGCTGTCGAGACAACAGTCAAGCTTCGAGCTATGACATGCTCATCTCATCTCCGCTCTGCCCTGTGCGACGCTCTGTTCAAGGTAATGTAATATAACAAGGCCACATTCCATGCGTTGTCCTTGTCTACCGAGTTCAGAAAAACAACAGCCCACATTCCACTTGGTGCTCGACCGCAATCAGTGAATTTCTACTTGAATCGAAGATCTTTATAGATGGGGAGATCTGCTGCTGTCGTCTTCCCTTTTCCCACGACACTCTCCTCGTTCGCGTCTTCCTTTGTGTTTGGGGTTTCTTGTCTCTATATTTCTTTGTCACAGCCAAAGGCCTTCCACTCGTTTTCATCCATCGTGGCATTCTATCCCTGCTTCTGATCTGAATCCCTCTGGAAGAAGAAGAAAACATTTTCCAGTTGACCAAAGAAGTTCTACATTGCTTCGTCATTCAAAATGCATTGTGCCATCTTCAAGCTCCCGCTGCTCCTTTCGGCTGTCGCCCTCGCGAGGCCTCAGACCCCGGCAGACACCAGCGCCTTGAGCGGATTGCCAGCTTGTGCAGTGAGTATCTGTCAAAATCCCCACAGTCTGAAACAAACATCTCTAATGTGTCATGACCTACAGCAAGATGCTGCCAACGCTGCCTTGGCCTCCTCAGGCTGTCCCGTGAACGACCAGAACTGTATCTGCAGCTCGGCACCCTTCATCAGTGCCATCACTACTGCAGTCACACAGACGTGCTCCCCAGCTGATGTTCAGGGTGAGTAACTCCCCCCAACCCTTGTGGTCCATTTTTGCGAGAAAAGGGAACGGAGCAAAATATACTGACAACGGAACCCAGCGGCATTGGTTTTCGGCCAAACCTTCTGCGGTGCCGCCCTCGGGGGCGGAAGCTCTTCATCCAGCTCGGCCCCTACCACCGGTGCAGAAGACACAGCCAGTGCCACCCCAACGGCCAGCCCGACCGACGGTGACGCCTCCAACGGGGTCTCGACCACCACTGTCCCAGGGACATTGACGTCTGTGACCAGCGTCGCCGACGCCACGGACAGCATGACCACCCTCACGGCAAGTGTCACAGACACCCCCACGTCCGGTGCGATGGGTTCAGGCTCGGACGGCATGGTGACAACCACCCAATGCACCACGACGACGACGATGATGACCACCGTGGCCTCCAAGCCAACGGGGCCATACAACGCGACCTACACCGGCGGCGTTGGCGTCGCGATCAAGAGTGCAGCGCCCGGCATGATCGCCGCCGTGGTGGGTGTTGCTGGCGCGATTGCCTTGTTGTGAGGTTGACCTACAAGCTACCTGGTGCAATCGAGAATGTCAATACCTGGACACCCACAGACACACGAACCCGATAAGACAACCACACACAGAGAGGGCGGGGGAAAGGGAGGAACGGAGGGGAAGAGAGAGGGCCTTTTTACCGGCAGTGTTAGGTTAGAATCGTCTCGGCATTATTCATCAACTATCTATCTATTATTACATGGAATTGTTCTTTTTCTTTTGGGGAAGGTGCAGAAAAAAAATACAACCGGTCACCTAGTAATATAATAATACAGTGGTTATGTAATGATTTCTTTCCACCAGGAGTGGTAGCAAAAACCAAAAATCATGTCAAGTGACAAAGGCTCGAGAAAAAGATTAAAGCCGGAAAGATGAGATAGGGGGCCGGGGGTTGGCTGCTTCAATAAATCAACATGCATGTAGGTACCTAATCATAGGTGCTGTGGCCCGTAATTATGGCCCAGAATGCCATGCCATGCTTTTCTTCCTGATACATAGGGAGTAACTAATTAGCTAACCTGATCTGGTTTCCTGATTGGGAAATTCTTTGATGTCCGATCGCAGCCCGTTTCGGTTCCTATTCTTCACACCCAGATGATTTAACAACTCCCTCCTCCCTTGCCTTTTTACAGCCGATGCATACCACAAAGTATGAGGTGTGAACGGAGGAGGGTAACGCAGTATATCCCCACACCACCTATCCCACGCAGTGCGTCAAGTCTCTTCTTCAGAATGACCACCAGCCTGGGCTGTTGCCTTTGTCGCAGGTTCGCCGGACGGTGTCGCAACTTGGGCGGGTTCGGCGCTCGAGTATCCAGCATTGCGACCCGCCGAGCCAAACCCCCTGTTGAACCGGTCGATGTGTTCCTTGAGCACGTCGGCCCTGCGCCTGTCGGCCTGGGTCTTTCTGGCCTCGGCGTCGCGCTCGACCTCCCTGGCGGCCATGAAGATGCGCATGGCGTCGTAGCCGCGCAGCGCGTCGGCCGCGTCCTCCCAGAACATCTGGACCGAGTCCTGGGCGACGCGGCACGCGAGGGCCAGCAGGCGGCGCTCGGCGCGGTTGATGTGTCGCTGGCGACTGTACACGCCGCGCAGAAAAATGCGCGTCTCGGGCGTCAGCCCCAGGTAGTGGTCGCGCCCGGACTCGAAGACGGTCGCGTACTCGCTGCGCAGGTGCTCGGCGATACCGACCCGGAACACGGGCGCGGGCCCGTACTTGGACACGTGGTGGAAGAGGCGCTCGCGGGCCGCCGCGTCCTCGACGCTCAGGATCGTGTTCATGTTCCCCAGCATGCCCGGCGGCCACGTCCGGTCGTCCGGCCAGCTGATCTTCGTGGCGATTGGGTCCCACGGCAGCGTCGTCACGTAGGGTACCGAGTCCGGGTCGGTCGTCCGCAGGGGGTGCATGGTCGTGTCTGTCTCCGTGTCCGCCGTCTCGGGGTCTCGCGCGATGCGCGTCGCCGTCGTGGGGAATGCCAGCTTTGCGTCGAATTTGGGCATGTCGTCGTCTTCGGTCCCATTGAGCATGAACGCCTCGCCATAATGAGCCGGTCTTTTGGCCTCGGGGGCGGCAGCGGGGGATGATGATGATGCGGTCGCGGATTTTTGACCGTCCTTGGTGATGATTTCCTTGTCCTCCTCTCGCTCTTCCTTCTCAAAACACACTTTGCCCTTCTCGTCCCCTACTCTGAAGAACTTTTCGATCCCGACCTTGAGCCGCGCCATGGAGCCATAGTGCTTGTACCCGTCAAAGAGGCCCTTGGTCTGCGCCGCCAGGGTCGTCTGTGTGCTCCGCGGCTGTTGGGAGAGGACCGTCTCGGCTTCGAGCGTGAGGCTGTGTAGCTGTGACTGCAGGTGTTCCAGGAGTCGAGCTTTTGCCGGGTCCTCGTCACCACCCGGGTGGCGTCGACGTGTTCGTGTCGAAGAAGGCTCACCCGCATGGGATTCTTCAGAGTCGCTACCTTCGTCTGTTGAGTGTTCAGATATGTGGCCTGCCACGTCGCCGAGGAGGTCGCTATTGTCGTCGTCGTCCTCGGTGACGTGAGCGTTCATTTTTTTTTCTTCAGAGCTTTCGCTTTGTGTGGTGCCAATGATGACGAAAACGACGAACACAGTCAAGGAACAAAGGGTCGTTGATGGTTCGTCGGGCCGTGCGTGAGAAGGGTGTATACCGAAGGGATGGATGTAAGGTGAGAGACACGTCCCCGATGCCCGCCTTGATTGACTCGTCGCTTCTTGTTTTTCAATTTGTCGCAGACGGTGGAGGTGACTGAACCAACATCTACCTTTGTTTTGTAGGGCGTGTGTTATCTGAAGAAATAAAAGTGAAGGCGCAGGAAAGAGAACATCAAGAAAGAAAGGTCAGGCAAAGAGCCGAAGTGAAGTGATTCACCTGATCAATAAATTCACTGTTTCGTGTTCGGCTGGTTGGGTGAAGCAGTTCAGACCATCCATCCAGGCATCCACTTTCACTGTTCTTCATTGACGTTGACGTTCGACATGGCCATTGCACTGGACTCCCGCAGAAAGAAAGAAGAAGAAGAGACTGTAGAAGAATAAGAGGCTTGTTCCGGTAAGAGTGAGTTCGTTCGAGATCTGGCGATTTCAACTAATCTGCCTGCACACCCACACCCACACTGACATCAACATCCGTATTTCACATATATCATCATTGTCAATCCCTGTGTGCTGGCTGGGTTGGTATTTCCTTTGGATGTCTTCTGTTACATGGATCCGATCCCTTATCATCATCCGCATTTTTATCCAGCCATGTCCGTCATCCATTACTTTCTCCTCAATATGATCCAGCGTGGTGAACTAAACCCCGCTCGAAATGCTCCCCGTGTGAACTGACACAGAGGGATCTTAGCCAACCAGATCTGGTGCCTTTGCGCATGCCATCGCCATCACCATCACCATCACGCACGCAGTTGCAAAGCATCCATTCCCCAAGCAAGAGAGGGGCGACACAGGCCGCCGCTTTGATAAACGCCCCAGCCAGAATGATCTCGCCGTCTCTCAAAAAATACCAAGTCTGGGAAATAGGAACAAGAAAAGGAAATGAACAAGAAAAAAGAGTTGGCGGAGTCGACCGGCTCTGTCTATACCTGGCTAGGACCTTGGGAATGACCCCTCAGAACTTCTCACTGGTCACTCCCCTCGTTACATGGACCAGCACCCAAGCCAGCACCTGCACGACCGTGGTGAGGAGCCAGACGACCAGTCTCAACACCATGATCAGCCCGCTGAGCGCTCCCCTCGTGACGGCGGGTAACTCCTCGCCCTTGCGGTCGCCGGACTGGTAGTGGCCCAGCTTCTCCAGGTCGAACTCGCGCATAACGATCTTCTTGGTCTTGGTCTTGGACTTCCTCTTCCTCCGAGATTTCTTCTCCGAGACGCCCTCGGAGTCGTCGTCGGTCGTCGTGGCGCTGCTGCTCGACAACCGCCCAAACCACATCCGCGACCCTTTGGACTTGGATCTCGATGACGAGTAGCCGCCCGTGCGGAGGTCGGCCTCGTGGGCCCGCCGCATCAATTTGGCCTCCTCCTCGGCCTCTTCCCGCTCCGCGATGGTCGCGTAAAAGACACTGCCCACGTGGCTCTTCACACTGCCGGCCCGGGTGTGGATGCTTCTGGTTCCTGTTCCGAGACGAGATGTCGGGGCCGGTCTAGGCTTCCAGATCTCCATGCTTCCCAGCACCGCATTCGTGGTCGCGTCTGCCACGGCGACGGAGAGAATCGCCGAGACGATGCAGTCGATGCTGAACAGGCTGGGCATAAGGTCGAGAATGGTGTTGGCATCTACATGGAGGATCTCAGAGGTCAGATCAAGGGTCGCGAGGGTCGAGAACTCTGACGAAGGCGACGACGTTTCAGTTAGTGGAAGCGTCGACAACCGCCGTATGCCAGCTCCTGCAGAGGATGGAGCCGTGGTGGTGGGCGTCATGATCCCGCCGGTCCGTCGCGAAGCGTTGGGGTCTATCACACTGATAGTAGGAAGAGGGCCGTCACTAGAAATGGTCACATGCAACACAGGCTTCCCCATAATGCTCTTGATCGTCGTCGGCGAGCTCAGAGAGGGGCTTTTCATCGCGAAATCCCCTCCCATAGCACCCCGCCCTATGGCCGGGTGTTCCAGTTCGTAGAATCCGCCGCTCGCATTGAACCGCAAGTGGCAGGCTTCTTGCTGGGCAGCCCGACGGACCGCCTGCGCTTCGATCTCGTCTCTGTCTGTGGGCGCGAGGTTATGCTGTCGTGCGAGAGCGGCTGATTGGTTTATAGCGAGGAGGGCCGCCAGTTTGGGGAATATGAAGGCCACGAGGCCGTCATTGGGCGGAAGGCGGCGAGGACCTGGCTCCAGCGGACAGAGAACGACGTCGCGGGTGATTGGGCTCTCAGCCCCGGCTGAAGAGGACTTGGGTTTGCTGGGGCAGGTTTTTGAGATGGCGATCTCATTCGTGTCGTACGTTTGGAGGGTGTAGAAGGGCAGAGACGGGTGGGAGCCAAATACAAATGTTGCTTCCTCGGTCCTGCGCACCATCATTAGCGTGATATGAAAAACAAAACGTGTGGAGAGCGCGCATCTACCGTGCCATCTCGAGATCGAAAGACTTGATCGACGAAGCCGGTTCCGTCCCGTGAGAAGCTTCCCACAACTTCTCGAGCTCCCTTTGCGTCGATATGCGGGGACCGACGCTGATGCTCATGACGTCTGACGGAAAGTTGAGAACACTCGCCGGCGCCGTCCTCTGTGCAGCTGCCATGGCTGACATGTTGAATGGGATCGAAAGGCTGCTTCTTCGGTAGTCCTCCCTCGAAGGTGGTATGCCTGCGAAAAGAGGCATGCCGGAGATTCGCACCGGCGGCGGGGGTTGCGGGACGAACACTGGCAGAGTGACCACAGGCGCAGAAGGGTCGTAGACGGGGAACATGGAGCGGATGGGCACGATTGGCGACGGCCCGATCGGGGATTTGTCATTTGGCGCAACCTGGACGAACACGGTGGAAGCTGGTGCTGCCACCAATGTCGTGGCTGATCCTGTCCCTGGTGACGATGAGGCTTGCGAAGATGACTTTTGACGAAAGTCGGGCGACTGGTATAACGATGGGGTATACGCCGCCGCTGCAGCAGAAGGGTGGACGGGCTGAGTGGGCGTCTTCCCATCGATCGGCGATACCGTGCTCACTGCCCGTCCGATGTCTTCCGGAGAAGGGGTAGTTTCCCGCATGGGCTGCTGCTCGCTCAGGCGGGTTGGGAGTCGAGGCAGAGGCGGCCGTTCCTCCTCCATTTTGATCACGACCGACTCGGCATTGGGCGAAAACGCGCTGTCCGGCGAGGTGACGACACTGATACTGTGTAGGCTTGGGTTCTTTTTGTGTGGGTTTGGAATCGATATCTTGGGGACTGTCGTCGGAAAGAGTGAAAAGCCTTGGAGGGCTGGAGTTGACGCGGATGTGGTAGCCATGCTGGATGCCTGATCGCAGCGTACTTGACCGTGCTGGTCCCAGCAGAACTCGAAAGGGAGCAGACCTGCTGCGTACAAGCGTGAAAAAGGACAGAGAATTAAAGTGTAAAGGGTAAAAAAAATAAGATGCACGGTGCACAGCACAGCACAGCAGAGCACAACACAGCACACTGCCTCGAAACAACTTACGAACAGCACACCAGGCACACGAGGACAGAAGAAGGGGAGCAAGAAAGATATTCAAGAAGGGGGATGTGAGCGGGACAAAAATGAACGACCACGATTGCCCCTAGGATGAGCACCGGGCGCACTCACAGAAAACGGGAGCTCTTCGCATGATGCAAGCGGCCCAATGGGTGACCGGTGGGAGAAAATCTACCTTGGCTGGCGTTTAGCGGCTCAAGATAGAAGTTATGCCAGATCATGAAGATCTATCACACCTGTGAAGACGCTGAATGAATGCATTGGCGAGAGACAAACCAATAGCAGGGGAGAGGGTGGAAATTGTGGACATTGGTCTGGAGGTGAGGAGGAAGAGCACGATAGAAGAAAGAGACGAGGAGGAAAGCAATACGGTGGAGTCTCAATGGCCTCAAACCCGGTCGGCGCGTAGAGCTGGTCATGATTGGCTGATCTATTTGCGGAAACAGGTGGACTCGGTCATCTCTGTATCTTATTGGCTGAACGGCAACTGCCGCCAAATCCGCACCGGGAGGAACTGCATCAAGGTAGAAGCCACAAAGCACTGTCTCCTAGGTACCTTCTCTTTACTTTTCTCGCTACCGAGTGACACTACAAGCACGCGTCTACTTTTCTACTCGAATGCGCCCAGTACTGCTGCAGCCACAGGCCCTCGGTATAGAAACTGCAGCCAATAGACTCGCCAGCGCACTTGTGTCCGTCTCCCACCAGGCTCTCAGACCACTCTCCCTGTCCGAGGTGGGCATGTTGCAATCTGCTTCCAGCCTCGTCAGAAGCGACCCTGCATCAGAAACTATGCTTTATCACGGTAGGTTGAAGTCAACCACAATTCGCCTGCGTACTCGTCAGTGAACACTCTGGATTGCCCTGCCTGCCGAAGCCCGAAAACTTACCCTGCTACTTGTCCGTTCTTGAGTTTCTGAACCGATTCGTTGAATTTGCTCAACCCTACCACGGTGGGCTCGAGGCGAAGTTTCCCTGTTCATTTCTGTTCAGCCTCCTCGTCACCACTGCACACACATCCGCGCATCACATACCTCGTTTGGCAAAGTCCAGTGTCTCGTCGATATCGGCCAAGCTGCTGACCAAAGTTCCTTTGATGGACTGATTGCGGAACACCAGCCTTGATGCGTCCAGGTCGATGTGATACTTTCCTTTCGGCGGGATGCCAATGCTATGCATGCGTCAGCCAGTGCGTTAGACCTGCTGGAGCGAAATATATCTTACCACATGACTTGTCCACCTCCTCGAGCTCCGAGGTAGTCAAGTGCGATGGGGTACGCTTGTACAGCTGTCGATGCTGTTAGCTACTCGCCATAGAAAAGGTCGCAATGTGTCCGGCGAGACATACCAGTAACAATGACTCCATGGGCTCCTCCTTCGGTT